TATTATAATCACCTGTAGCAAAGCCAAAGTGTTTGCTACAGCTGGCCAACTCAGTTAAACTAATATGCTGAATACTGTAGTAGCCACTGGAGAAATGGAAGCAATCTGGGGTACTGGATACCATATTCCTTCCCTAATAATTATTTAATTTCTTTTGACTTTTGCATTTCTTTATGAATTCATTGTCTTGTACATTTTTTTCAAATGTTCTTTATTTTTTCCCCAAGCTCCTTTAGAGAAAACCCTGGATATCAAGATTTCTCTTTCCTTTTAAGCAGTCAAAACAAATTACATTCAACCACTATACATACTGATGCATTAGCAGTCAGAGCATAACTCATATATGCACACATAGAAATAAAAATGCAGAATTCACACTAAATTCCATAAAAAGTAAAAACAGGCAGGCACGGTGGCACACGCCTGTAATCCCAGTGGCTCGAGAGGCTGAGACAAGAGGATTGCGAGTTCAAAGCCAGCCTCAGCAAAAGAGAGGTGCTAAGCAACTCAGTGAGACCCTGTCTCTAATAAAATACAAAACAGGGCTGGGGATGTGGTTCAATCCCCAGTACCCAAAAAAGAAAAAAGAGTAGAAACAGATCCAGAAAGAATAAGGAAGGTTAAAATACATAAAATAATCAGCTACATTATTGTGTCCACCTACAACTAAAAAAGAAATTATAAAAAAAAAGCTTATTAGATGAAAACATGCAATAAAACAATCTCCTATAATTATAATGTTCAAGGTACAATAAGGAAAAGCAAATCATTTCCAATATAAATGCAGTATTTCTAAATAAGTAAATAAATGATACATCTGAACACTTTATATAATTATTAACAGATAAAAGTTTTAAGTATTTCTTTATAGTCTTACTATATTAATGATTCTTTAACATGGATTATAACACTGAAGTTTGCTATTTTTCTATTTTGTTTCTTAGTGCACTCAATTTAAATTTCATAAGATGGTACTGGAAAAGCTTCTTCTATACTGCCTTCAAACACTCTATGTAATGTCAAAGAATAATTCTTGATTATAAGAACTATTGCTGTACAAAAGCATATCGTTAGCATTCTGTTTTCCCCGTACTGAATGACTTTGCTAATGCCGAAAACCTAACTGTTAGAGGGAAAGCCAAGATGTAAAACAACCTGGTGCTTAAAAAGAAAAGAGCCTTTAGAGACACATGTCCTCCTGTTCAAAGATAAAGTAAGAAATCAATTAACATTGAAATAATATTTAGTCATTTAGCAGATGACAACTAAGGATAAGGATAATTTTTGTTCTTAAATATAAAGTTTTGTTTTCTCCTTATTGATTGATCCTTTTTTCCACATTTTCCTCCCTCCTAAAACAGGAAGGGAAATATAAATGGCAGCCAAGCTTCTGAATGGCTATGGTAAATCCAAAAGAAAAGAGTTTTCAATCTTTTGTGGGCTTCATCTCACATTTACCTGTTAATGAGTACTAAAGCTTGAACATTCTCCTTAAGTCTCATTAGAAAAAATTAAAAAAAAAAAAAGACTCATTAGAAACAAAGCAGTCTGTTGCCAAAGGCTTCTTCTAGAGTGTTTTAACCAGTTACAGGTTTTGAAAGGCCTAAGATGGATCACAAACTACAGAAAAAGGCCCTAAAGGCTTCAGTCTTCATTTCAGCTATGTGACCACTTAAAACCTGTTTCTTCTTCAGTAAAGTAAGACTGCCAGCGTCCAAAGGACTAGGTTTCTAATCAGAATCCATATATATTCACTCCTGGGGCCATAAATTACCTTAAAATTCTTTTCAAAATCATATGCACTCATCTGGGAAGCTGATTCTGCAGCTTTCAATCAGCTCTCAGCACAACACTCTAAGAAGCCACTGTACCAACAACTCTAGTCCTTACACCAAGAAACCATGGGATGGAGTGCAAAGCATAGTTCTGAAACAATAGTCTCAGGACTAATCACTTCCTGTCTGTGGAAAGATCTATGAAATAAAAATACCTACTTCATAAGGAGTTGATAATGAGTAGAAACATGTGGGGTGTTGATCCAAAATTTCTGATTTATGAAAGTTGCTTTCATTATGTAAGAAGACAAAAAGTCATTTAAGAAGCTATACTATGTACCCATTTGACTATTGAGGTTCCCAGGCACTAAGGAACTGCCCTTAGACAAAGAGCTTGCCAAGTGTCACACAGGCAGGGCTTCTACTCTGCCCTTCTCAAGCCCTACACCACAAAACCACAACAGGCCACATTCAAAACACAATGCTAACATGAGCCTAAGCCTAGCTGAAATGGTGCTTAGGTTTGGGCCCACCAAAGAGGAAATAAAACCAAAATGATATATGGTGACAACAACCTTTAAAAATAAAGGTATTTAAAATTACCAAGTGACCCTTTCGGGGTCTACACACTTACCAGACCTTAAGAAAGCTGGTGGAGAAGAGACGACTGCACCAGGTGAGTTGGCCATTTCAAATTGTTGACTCTAATAATAAGTGTCGCAGGCTACATTACAGCAATTTTAAAACTGTTTAGTGAAGGTTAGAAGCAATCAGCATTAGATTAATTGAAAGCAGTGTGAGCAGTTATTAACATGATGCAGTGCAAAACAAAAGGCAATAATTGAGGATCATTATATAATTTTATTTTCTGTTTTATGACTTGAAAATTTTATTTCCTTTGTTTGATAAATTACATTTGCTTATAAAGATGAGGCAGCAAAAATAATATTCATTTATTACACATTACATAAGAGTAGCATGCTTAATTGTGCAGTAAAATAATTATGCTACTATGTAACAATGCTTAGAATTCTGCAGAGCAGTCTATACCAGAAGCAGGTTAGTTCAACTTTCAAACAAAACTATTTACATATTCTTCTAAAAGTCACAATGAAGTTGTTTTTAACAACCCAAGAAGTAAGTGACTCACTGAGAAGTTTTATTATCTATACTTCATACAGTTAAAAGAATATAAAACTTAAAACAGCTAATTTGGAGGACTAGCTTCAACTGTTTTCTCTTTTAACTACAAAGAAGTAAACGTGTAGGAACATCCAAAATTAATACTATCTACTTAACTACTTTCTACATGAAACTGGATTTAAGCAACTGCATTCAACAAGTTACGTAAAACAAATGTTTTTCTCATTTAAAAGAAAAATAAGGTTTTCAAAGTTTATTGTTATAACATGTATTTAAGAAAAAACAAAGCAAAGACTAAAGAAAATAAACTCCATGTGCTTATTAAAAGAAAAGAAAAATACTGCAAAAATAAATGCTGGGGGCAGTGCTCCATTCCCTGTGAGAAAACTCTGATTATTCTTGGTCCAGACATAACCAATTCATTAACATTTCTTATAGCCCAGATAACCACATAGTTAATAGCCAACTCAGTATTTCCATATGACATTAAAAAAAAAAAAACACTTAAAGAAACATGAAACAAAAATACTTTAGACTATTTCAAATTATTGTATTGACTCTAAAATGTACTGGCGACTCCTATTCTAAAAATTCTCTCATACCTTGTGAGTTTTCTTATAACTTTAAGTAAATAAATGTACAAATTAACATTTAAAAACAATTTAATTGGCAACAAAGATGATTGATGAAATAAAACACTTTCTATGTGTTTTAAAGGAAAAAAAAGTCAGGGTACACAACAGATAACTAAGAACTTCATTAAATGAGCAAAGTTCAAAACATAATAGAAGAAAAAAGAAAACAAACAAAAAAACCAAGAAAACCTTGCTTAATATTAATGCAAATGCAGATTTAATTTTCTTGGACAATATCTTTTCCATCCCTCAATAATGATACATAGTTTCCTTAGTGGAAGACTCGCCATCCACACCTCTCCAGCTTTAAGGGTGCACTTTTTGATCAAGACTATATCTAGGGGTGGGGATATAGCTCAGTTGGTAGAGTGCTTGCCTCACGTGCAAAAAGGCTCTGAGTTCAATCCCCAGCAACATTAAAAAGAAAGAAAGAAAAAGAATAAAGACATTTAAAAAAATATTATATTTAGTCAGTGAGAAATTTGGTAAGTTTCATTCTCAGATCTTGGAGAAGCTATCAGCCACAAGTGCTAATTTAAAGTCCTGACTTTGCAATTTGAACAAGTCAGTTGAGGACACAAGCACTGTTGGCATCCTCTGACCTCTACAGCCTCGGATTCCCAAAACCATGAAAGGAAAGTATAGGTCCTAAAGGCCACTTGTCCAGGGAAGGGGCTCACTTCATTCTGGGCCCTAAGTATGCTCAATATGACTTACTTTGTGGCCCCAGCCACCGACTCCATCAATATCTGTCACATAGATAACTGGCTACAGCTTAAAACTAATGGGAATATAAAAGGGAAGTATGAAATAAGGCAACGAGCAGTCGCCACGTTTTTAGGGTCAAAATCTAAAATTGAAGCTCTTTGGCTTTTGTGGATAGAATACACAGAGGGAAGCCATAGTCCGTTTCCCAGTTATGTGTCGCCGCCTGATTTCTAGGGGCAAGACTCCATGAGAAGTCGTGTAGCCGCTACTTTCTGAGGGGAAATACGGAATAGATCGGGAGAGAAACAAAACTAGACGGGAGGGCCGCCACCTGTTTTTTTCTTTTTTTGCTGGGGGCGGGGTGCACATCGGGAGCAAAGGCAGGGCCGCCGCCGACTTTCTAAGGAAAAATTCACATCCAACAGGTTCAATCCCAGGACCCCCACCTCCCTCTCGCCCAAGGTGCTTAAGGGGAGGAACCACCCACTGTGCGGGGGTAGGGAGCGGCGCCCCAGCCAGCCAAACCTGAGCGCTTGGCCCGGGCTCTTCGCTCCAAGACCTTCCAGCTCACATCAGCCATGAGACCCTCCGCCCCGGCCATCGGGCTGCGGCCACTGAATTGGCAAAAGCCCTGGGGGACGCCTGTGTGCACCACCCGCCCGGCCCCGCCCCCCCGCGCGACACTGTCGAGAGGCGCGCCGGCCGGAAGTGAGCGCGAAGGCGCGCTTCACCCCAGCTCCACGCTTCCCTATCGTCAGAGGGGCAGCCCTTGTCGCGAGAAGGCGTGGAAAGTCGTCTGCGGCTCGAAAGCGCCTCAAGGCTGCGTCCTTTCTGTCTTGATCGGTCGGGTAGTGCTTTGCGGCTGCCGTCAAGCGCGGCGCTGGGCCGGCGGGCGGGGGCCAAGGGGCTGCCATGGCGGCGGCGGGCCGGCTGCCGAGCTCCTGGGCGCTGCTGGCGCCGCTCCTTGCTGGGCTCGCTCTGCTGGGAGTCGGGCCGGTCCCGGCACGAGCGCTGCACAACGTCACGGCCGAACTCTTTGGGGCTGAGGCCTGGGGCACCCTGGCGGCCTTCGGGGACCTCAACTCCGACAAGCAGACGGACCTCTTCGTGCTGCGGGAAAGTCAGTGCTTGCCCGGCCCTCCCTCTCTCCGCTGTCCGTGTGCCCTCCCGGTGTTCTCCACATCCCCTGTTCCCGTAGCCGGTCCTCTTGCATTACCCAGTCCTTCTCTCCTAGCCCTGTGGCCCTCCCTTTATCTCCAGCATCCTTGACAGCTTGTCCTTTTTCTCCATTTTTCCAACCCCGGGTTCTGTCCCGGTCACTTCACGTTTTGACCTGCCCCTCAAAGCCCTGGCAACACCCCATATTTTTCCTGAGAAGCCCGCGGCCTTCAGTCACGCACCCCACTCGTCCCCGTGGAATCACCTGCCTCTCAGAGTCCTTCCTGATTCCCAAGAGTCTTTGTAGCTGTCCTCTCCGTCTGTTCTTAAGGCCTCTTTATTTGCTTTGGCTTTACTTCAGGTTTCCCCTTTGATGAACAGAAGATGCAACTTCACAGTTTCTTCTCATAGAGGACTTATCTTTGCTTCCCCATTTAACTAATCCCTCCCCCTATGTCAGGGTTTCAGTTTTCTCTGAAGCTACTGTAACCTCTTAAGGCCCCAAACACTCCATCCCTTTCACAAACGTTGTGCAAGGACCACTAATAAACCCAGAGCTTTATTGAGAAAGTCTTCACAAACTACAAACTCTTCTACCTCATGGACTCCCTAGTCGTTAGTGCACAACTGACTCTTTCTCATTACCTTCACCACCCTAATCTTCCAAATCTGCGCTTTTTTTTTTTTTTTTTTTTTTGCCAACTTTGTGGTTCTTGGAAGTTATTTGCTTTAACCATCACAAAGACCTTTTTTTTTTTCCCCAAAAAAATCTTGATGCTGACAGTGGGCATAGAAGGGATCTTAACATTCTTGAGTACCAATAAAAGCAGGTATTGCATAAAGGTCAAGGCCATAAAGAAAGTGAGGAGCTAGTGCAGAGCCTGACTGACAGGATCCGGACCTCTTGTGGACTCTGGATATTTTTCCTGTTTTTAATGACTCCCCATTTTGCAAGAAGTGTTTATGCTGCCAAACAAGTAACTACTTCATCCAATCTTGGTAGATGGTAGTTGGCCTGTCCTTTCTTAAATGGTTTTAAAAGTCTATCTCATTGAATGCTAATTGAATTCCAAGAATGCATCAACCTCAGAGATGATTTTATAGGAGCCAGAGCAGAAGGGTCTTGGAGGATTCAGTTATTGCTGCTTAAATGTTTTATTGTGTCCATGTTGTCAAATATCTACAACAAGAGTTAAAGTTCTGTGATGAGCTAAATGACCTTTTAAAAGAACAACATCATGGACGTGGGGAGCACTGGGATTGATATATAGTATGGTATAATATAGGGTTTTTTGTTGTTTTGTTTTTGTTGTGAATTAAATTCAGAGTCTCACTGTTACACAATAGTACAGTTTTAAGGGATATTCTTTGTTTGTTTTTTTTTTTTTTAATGTCAGCCCATCTGACTCTTGGCAGAATCCACTGACTTTGGTTTGTCTTGATCCAACTATGTATTTTTATGGTTATCCTTCCTCTGCTTCTTTGAATATTAAACTTATGATATACTGTTAAGTTCCCATCCCGTTAGATTAATAGGGCTATCTTTGAAAGTGTACATGAACTGGAATAGAGTAAGTTTTCTTGTTGACAACAGTGCCCAGAAAGTTTATAACCATTGGATGAATATTTTACCAGGAAACATTTTTCTAACATCATGTATTTTCTTCTTTTAGAAAATGATTTAATCGTCTTTTTGGCAGACCAGAATGCACCCTATTTTAAACCCAAAGTAAAGATATCCTTCAAGTAAGTACAAAGTTATACGTTTTTTTAAACATTTAGTCATTAGCAAAATTATTGATATGGATTACCTGGTTGGGTTGTTTATGAACTCACTCTCACCTGTGATGTGACACAAAACTACTAGTTAAAAGGTATGAGTAGTAAGTAATTAGTCAAGAAAGATAATGAAAGTACTAAAGTTTAAAATAATTTCCTCTTTAAAAAATAAAAAGAAATAAATTTGAGTGGAATGAGATCTATTCCTATGTGAACATTTTTCATTCCTTTGCAGTCTAACAGGCTTTCTTGGATGTATTAGATATTGTTCCTCATCCAGAGCATGCCTGTGGGAGTAGATTAATTATATGAGGTTCTTCAGGTTAACATCGTTTTGCATGGGAAACAGGGAGTGTAATTTGCAGATCAATGACTTCTGTCTTAACTTTTTAATTGACTAATAGTTGATTAGTTATTAAGGTAGATTCTGAAGGAATTCAATTCAGTCTTTTGAAATGAAATTATCTGAATTTTGAAAAAGTATCTAATCTTATTTTTCTTTTTCATGGTTGGCATTGTATGAAACAGTGTCCCCCACCACAAATGATAGTGAGCCATCACAATTTTGAAATTATAGGAAATGAGGAATTATGTATTTAAGGGGAAAGAGATGGCTCATTGCAGGCCAAAGTAGCACCTCCAGAGAGTCACTGAATTCTAGCTTGACTATAATATGAGTAAATTTAGGTGAGGATGTTCAAGTTTAGGGACACTGCCTTTAAAAGAATTATATTGTTTACATATATGAATATGTAGAAATAAATATCATCAATATGTATAGCTATAATGCTCTCCCTAATGCTTTCTTCCAATAAAAAACATTGTGGGCTGGGGTTGTGGTTCAGTGGTAGAGTGCTTGCTTGCCTAGCATGTGTGCGGCACTGGGTTTGATTCTCAGCACCACATAAAGAAATAAAATAAAGATGTGTGTCTACAACATAAAACAATTAAAAAAATAGTAAGAATCTTTTAAGAAAGAGAAAGAGATGGTAGTAAAGACAACATGTTATGAAGAAGAGGTTAAAAAAAAAATTTTGCCTGACAGAACAGGATGGTACACTTTGGAGAGTCATAGTCTAGGAAGCTGGAATCAGAGCAGAGTAGGAGCTATCATAAATAGCATAGAGTTTAAACTCAGTTCCATGAGGAGAATCTTAGCTTCATGGGTTCTTTTAAAATCTAGTCCTATTGTTTATCCTAATCCTTCAAATGTGACTTGTATATTTTGGAAGCTATAGAGTCTCTTCTTTATCCCTTTTGCTCTAATTTCTTGGTGATGTTTTTAGATACAGATTGTTTTTCATTTGCTCTGTTGGGCATAGGTGGGCCCTTGTTGTTCATTAAGAAATTCTTACCAGTTGGTTATTGATTTGCTCAATTCATCCCTGTTCCTTTATCTTTTTGTTTGTTTTTACTTTGGTCATCTTGGTTTTTATTTGTTTTGTTTTCTGAGAGGGGTTCTGTACTTTATCTTCTAAGACTTCCATATGTTAGTTGTGATATTTTTTTATTTCCGAAGTTTTCTTTCTTCTCTTTCTATTTTTATCCCTTAGCACCTTAGCATGATGGGTTTTTGTTTGTTTGTTTGTTTTTATGATCATACTTTTCTTTTCTGGCTTCAACTGTAATTTTGAAGTTTTCTTTGGTTCCCTTCATTAGCTCTGTTTTCTTCACATTCTTTCACATTGCTATTTATTTTTGCTTTCTTTAATATTCATAGTCTATTCATCTTTGATTAAGTCATTAAAGCGCTAATTGAAAATTCTTTGCATGATGGGACTTCTATACTCTATCTTGTCCTTTATATATTTTCCTCTTTGGCTGGCATGCCAGGGGTGGAGGTAGGGGCAATGATCAGACTGGTTTTGTTTTGTTTTGTTTGTGAACTTTCTGTTAACTCCCTGTTTTTAACTTAAGGCCAAAACCTTACCTTCTGCTATTACTTAAATCCTTAACGTCTGAAACTTTCTAGAAATACACCTATTAATTCTTACCATGGTGATTGAGAGGGAGAAGGGCATGCATTTATTTATTTATTTTTTTGGGGGGGCATGCATTTAAAAAATAATTATACATCGTCTAATTGGAAGTTTGTTGTCTTGCTATTTGCTCTAAGTAGAATTAAATATAAATGTAATATAAGCCCTATTTTTTGGTTGATCATTCAGACAACATTATGAGAAGACTCCAGGATGTTAAGTGTTCAAGGTTAATATAAATAGTTTTAGAATTATTTTATTAAAAATATAAAATTAGATATATATGTTTGGATAGCGAATTATCAGATTTCATAAAAATTTGTTTTCCCTTGTGAATTCAGACTAGCTTTCAAAAGGAGCCAGGGTTGTGGCTCAGTGTAGAGCACTTGCCTAGCATGCATGAAGTGCTGGGTTTGATCAAACCATATAGAAATAGAAACAAACAAAATAAAGGTATTGTGTCCATCTACAACTAAAAAAAATATATAAAAATGAAAAATAAAATCCTTAATTTTATTATAAGTTTTGAATGTACATTAAAATCCAAGTTAAATGTCTTACAAATATCTTAATTGATAGGTCACACTGATATTCTTTGTTGCTTTAGCAGTTATGCTCCTCCACTTATTACAAACACTATCCAAATAGCTTAGTATTTTTGACAAAAGAACTAACTAAAATGACTGTATTAGCCAATGTTTAATATTGGCAGGTACAGAGATAGATAGGTTTTCTCTTGGTATGTTTCAGATCTATTGTTTTGTAGGACTGCTCTGCATTCATTCTCAATTCTTATAGAACAAAGTAGTCTTCATACAGAAGTAGTGATAATAAAGAAAAGAATAAGATTAATCAGTTCTGTGATGTTTTCAATTTGGCATTGAAAATATTTTATGGTAGAAATATAAAGATGTCCTTTACTGTTGTAACTTCTCTAATATTTTAAAATGTTTATTTCTTTTAGGAATCACAGTGCATTGATAACAAGTGTAGTTCCTGGGGATTATGATGGTGATTCACAAATGGATGTCCTTCTAACATATTTTCCCCAAAATCATGCCAACAATGAATTAGGAGCTGTTATCTTCTGGGGACAAAATCAAACATTAGGTGAATGTGTTTTAAGAATTTTTAATATTTATCATTGGAAAGATGTAGGAAAATATGCCTGATAGTCTTAGGAAAATATGGCAGAAATATTGTTCTGAAATCAGTTCAAAATGCTGTTCTTGGGTGTTAATAATTGTAAAAAATTTTTAGAAGTTCTCATTATTCTTTTTCAACTCAGAAGCAACCTGGGGTCAATTTCAAAGAACAAAGTCCATTCTTATTAGTTTAAGGAAACAAGATTTATCAAAAGATTTTAATGGCTTGTGAGATTGTTGAGATAGCTAAAGAATAAATTCAGGGTTAAATACTCAGGAATAGTTCTCAGTGCCATTAAGAAAGCTATAATCAGAAGTGGTCAGTTGCAAAATAGCTGTCACAGTGATGCAGTGCTTTCCATGATTCTTGTCAGCAGAGTGGATGCTACACATGACCTCTTAAAACTTTCAAATTAGTGAGCAGATACAGAGATAGAACTCAAAGTGTAAATGATTGACAAAGCTTAACTTAATCCAATATCTTAGATGCAAGGATATCTAGGAAGTACTATTTTTGGTTGCTACTCCCCAGTACAGGAAAGCACAAAAAAGTTGAAGTAGAGATTGAGAGTTATCTAACCATATCCACCCATGAACCTTCAAGTCTTATCTGAAGAGGAAATAATGATAGAAACTTTGTTCATGGAGCCAGATTTCAAGGAAGGCAAATGCAGTTGTGCTTTGTCACATTTGGAACTATAGATAATAATCTCAATCAATGCTTTATAATCATCCATTCATTACTATGAAGTATTTAAAGGAGTACTGTGTGCAAAGCATTGCTTGTCAGTGAGCATAGATAAAACAGAGTTAGATAGTGTTGCATATATTGGCTTCTGTGCACGAATACCTTGTTCATTGTCAGTTACTTTAATGCTAAATTGTATACAAAGAATTGGCGGGCTGGGGATGTGGCTCAAGCGGTAGCGCGCTCGCCTGGCATATGTGCGCACGGGTTCGATCCTCAGCACCACATACAAACAAAGATGTTGTGTCCGCTGAAAACTAAAAAAAAGTAAATATTAAAATTCTCTCTCTCTCTCTCTCTCTAAAAAAAAAAAAAAAAACAAAGGAGAATTGGCAGATAGTTAGAAGGAATCTTAAACAAAACTCATGCTGGTTTTCACTATAGGATGAACTCTGTCAATATTTTATCCTGAAATTAGATTTACAATGTCTCATTAATGATAATAGTTGGAATGAATTAGAAACAAATCTTGCAAAGAATAAAACAATATTTTCCCTAACTGTAAATATCAAAAATAATATATAAATGCCCACTAATTTACGTGTATTCTCTCTTTATAGATCCTAACAATATGACCATACTCAATAGGACTTTTCAAGATCAGCCACTAATTATGGAGTAAGTATGTACTCTGCTTCCCTGGGAATGGTTTAAATTTACAAATATAATCTTTTATGACAGAAGCTACTTTGCTAAGTAGTATTGACATTAAATTAGTTTCTTAAAGCTAATAGAGGGCTATATTATTGATTGTATGTTGGTGGTTTGCCATTATGAAGGAGAGAAAAATGAAGTTTATTATTTTGAAAAAAGGAAGATCTGTGCTTTTATAGCTTCATATATATCCATAATGGACCGATGTTAGTAGTTATGTCATTATTAAAAGAACTAAGAGAGTAGTTTTTAATTAAAATTGTTTATGCCCAATTGACAGATATGAAGAATATAGGGTTTCCTCTAGAAATATAGAAAGATTCTTACATTAAAGAGAAATTTTGCCCTTTTTGCAGCTCTTCCTTTGTGTTTTGTTTGTCCTCAAAATAGTCTCACGTACTAGGATAATTTATTCCAAATTTCTGACAGGATGTTTTGATAATACAGTAGCAATCATTCTTGGAGCTACAGCTACAAATGGCCCTCTTCTTCCATTAAGAACTTTCTTATAGTTGTTAAAACCCTATCCGTAGGTCAGTGACCATTTGAAGCATGACTGATAAATCCATGGGTTAATCTTCTTAAGGGTGCTCACCTTGATTTCTTTCATGCTTGTGTTTTTTTCATTGTTGTTACAAGAGTCAACAAATAGTATGGAATTTTATATCATGTGAGCATTGTTATCATGTGAGCATGTGAGGAGTTATAGCCTCTCAATAAATCCACCTAAATAAACAAGTTGGGTCATGGCTCAGAAATAACTTTCTAGGAATCGAAACCATCTCCTTATCCCTCAGGAGTAGGCTAGATTATGTAGAAGTTACAGCAATCCCAAAATCTCACAACAAACTTTATTATTTTTTTTTGTTCACTCTACAATGTGTCCACTGTAGGTCAGCAGTAGGTGCTGCTGTGACATTGCTCAGAAAGGTAGGCTATCAGAGACCCCACTACATTTGTAGCTAGACCATCCAAAATGCATGTTCTTACATTATTGTAACATGCTTAGTAAGGGCTAGTAGCAAGCAACAGTGACTAAACACTGGCTTGGAAGTGATATGTGTTACTTCTGCCGACATTTTATTGAGTATAAGTAGAACACTGGTGAACATTGTGATGTCTACCAGACCTCCCAGAGTTTTGTTTTTTCTTCTTTTTTAATAAAATAGCTATTTAATGTTTTTTATGATTTTTTTACAGCTTCAATGGTGATCTAATTCCTGATATATTTGGTATCACAAATGAATCCAGCCAACCACAGATACTATTAGGAGGGTGAGTAAATATGATTAAAGCCATATAATTAATTGTATGTGTTGTTGCTGCTGCAGAAATTACATATCTGTATGAACTAATTGCTTTAACAATTGTGAAAAAAACAGCTGATTGGAAATCCTTGTTTTCAAAAAAAATTTTAAAGACCATTTGGTCAACATATTGGGTTTTTCAAAGAATTTAGACTTATATAACTGCTTTCTGTATAGAACTTGCTTAGTTCTTCTATCCCCTTGAGAATTAGAGATACAAACTTTATAGATCCTCATTTAAATATTGGTTCATTAGGTGTTTTTAGAAATAGGACACTTTGATTTAAATAGGATGGATAGCTATAGTCTTAATTAGAGTTTACCTTGGTCATGAAATGTGATTCACGTAGATGTGAAAATTATCAAAGTTTAAGGTATTCTGAGGGGAAAATGTCAAATTTCTTTTCACTTTTTCTGAAGGTTTTCCATAAAGAATATAGTGTTTCAAGGCTGATCATAGTAAATTTTGAAAGAATTATTATGGATCTTGAATGAGAAACTTTCTCCCACATACTTGGCAAAATATTTGACAAACTAAGTCCTGCTTTAAAGATGAATTGGAAACAGATCTTAATTTGCCTGTGTGGCCATGTCTAGGAGGAACTGAGTACAGGTGAAGAGAGGTGAAGACACAGGCCCCTCCATTCTGATCATAGCAGGTTAGGACAGTAAAGGAAGCTGCTTGTCTTTGCTTTCTTCAAATGGACACATGTGATTGAAAATGTGATGGTTTGTCTGGCCAGGTTCATTTCATGATAATCACCATTTTAATCAGACATCATTGGAATATCCTTAATGTGTTATAGTTTGAACCTTAGAAATTAAAACATGCGAAACAACTGTTTTAATAACTCAAAAAGTAAAATTCTACTATCATTATGATTTAGAATATCATGTGATAGTGTCATAGCTCATTTGTTCTGAATTTTATATTTTATCTAATACTTATTCAAAATGCATAGCTTTTAAAAGTTATTCTGTTTAAAAACAAGTTCACTTGCACTTTTTATACATTTTATTCCAGTTCTATATACTGGAATAATATTCTATTATAATAGCTCTCATTTAAACTTCAGGTACATATTAAATAATAGTTACTAAACTTACTCTGAGAGACAAATTTCAATGTAAGTTTTGTCTTGATACTAATTTAAAGAAAAGACTGTGTCTCAGGGCTATGTGTTTAGTTAAGTGATAGAACAAGTGCTTAACATGCACAGACCAGGATATAATGGTTGAATCCCCTGCACCCAAAAAATAAATAAATAAATTCTGTCCATAGCATTGTTAGGTTGACAACATACCAGCAAAAGCTGAATATGTCCTTGTGAAGGCAATTTCTAAAATAAGAAAATGACATTTAGGTCATTTTTTAGCTTTCTATTACTATGACAAAACATAAAAGGGGAAAATTTGGGGGCTGGGGTTGTGGCTCAGTAGGAGAGTGCTTGCTTAGCACTTGAGGCCCTGGGTTCAATCCTCAGCACCACATAAAAATAAATAAATAAAATAAAGGTATTGTGTTCAACTACAACTAAAAAATAAAATATTTTAAAAAGCGGGGGGAACGGTATTTTGGCTCACAGCTTCAGAGGTTTCATTCAGTTGTCAGTTGGCATCATGGTTTCTGGGTCTGTGTTAAGGTGAGGAATATGTGGCAGAGAAGATCTGTTCACCTCATAGCCACCAAGTTGCAGAGTGAGAGACAGACAGACACACCAAGGCTCACATATCTCCTTTAAGAACACTCTGCACCAACTTTCCTCTAGAAGGCCCAACCTCCTAAAGGCTATAACCACTCCCCTAATAGCGCCTCAGGCTCTTCAACAAATCTTCAGAGAACATTTAATGTCCAAACCATAACAGAATCAGTTTTACAAACAGTAGACATATATGTATAGCTATGTAAGTAAAAAGAGCCATCAGCATTGACACTCTAAAAACTCAGAAGACCTTGGTTGTTAACCCAATGTTATTGATCAAGAAGTGTAAACTTGCCTGATTTATTAAGTAACCTAATTTACCTTTTTCAACTTAAATACTATGCTTTATGCAACTTAAATACTATGTCAAACAGAAGTTAAATTTGTTAAATTTAATTAGTTAAATTTGGCCAGCAATTTAGCTTTATGGGAACTCTATAATGATCTTTAAGCAGAGTACCCCCATAAGATTAGGCTGGAACACATGCACATGCCTATAACCTGACCCAGTACATGCTTGGAAATAGGAGACTACCCACAAATAAAACTTTGGAAACACTTTAGCTGGAATAAATGTCAATACAGTCAGACTAAGAAGGCAGTGGTAATAAGTAGAAGGATCTAAAGTAATGGGTACAGTGGGGTTCTCTGGCAGGAATAGGAAGGGTGGTGAAGCTACCTTAGTATGGTATGTTAGATAATCAAAGGCAAAGCTTTTCTTTGCACCTCAAATTCACTTTACAGTCACTTGAAATCATGTAGTAATGTGCCACATTACTTAGGTATAACACCTTCCTATTAAATGTTAGAGCAGCTTCTGCAGTGATGTGAGGTTATCATTAATTAGAATTTTAAGTAAAAGGGTATTTAAAACTGATGTTGCACAAGCATTCAGAATATTGTTTTTAATATTAAAATGCAAACACCTGTACCTATGATTTTTATTAAAGGAAAATATAATGTTCTGTCACATATTATTCATCTTTAAACAATAATGTGATATTGAGCCATTAACATGTATTATTTAGAAAAAAATTGAAAATTACTTTGGGAATTATGGCACAAAATAAAACCAAATGATAATCCTTAAGAAATGTTTTAATTTTATAGTCCACATTAGTACTCAGAATCATAACCAAAAAGGTAGCTTGGGGATGATTCATGGTTTTTTATCATTCCCCTGGCAATCCCTACACTTCTCAACCTATATACCACTTATATTTTTTAACACTGTTGGTAAAAGCAATCTATTAGAATTTCACAAATCAGATATTTGTCAGTATTTCCATGAAAATATGACGTCCATTTGCTAACTTTTCTCTTTTCCTAAACTTTGCTACTTGTGATAAATTCATTTATTTCCCCACTGTCACCCAAATATTTTTATTTCAAAATCAAACAACAAGGCTGGGGTTATAGTCAGTGGTAGAGCACTTGCCCTCGAGAGGGGCACTGGTTTCAATCCTCAGCCTCACATGAAAATATATAAATTAAATGTATTGTGTCCATCTATAATTTTAAAAAAATTATTAAGAAATAATGAAAAACTTTAGTAGATGACTTTTAATTTTATATTGCTGTGATTACTTTAATGGTATGTCATAGTTATTTTTTAAATTTATTTATTTATTCTAATTTGTTATACATGACAGCAGAATGCATTTCAATTTGTAGTACCCATATAGAGCACAATTTTTCATGTCTCTGCTTGTATACAAAGTAGAGTCACACCATTTCTATCTTCATACCTCTACCTAGGGTAAAGATGTTTGTTTCTAAAGATTTCACCGTCTTTCTTACCCCCATACCTCTCTCTTCCCCTCCCTCCCCTTTGCCCTACCTAAAGTTCCTCCATTCCTCCCATGCTCTACCCAGTCCCCATTGTGGATGAGCATCTATGTATCAGAGAACACATTTGGCATTTGGTTTTTTGGGACTAGCTTGCTTCACTTAGAATGATATTCTCCAACTCCTGCAAATGCCATAATTTTATTATCTTTTAATGCTGAGTAACATTCCATTTTGTATATATACCACAGTTTTCTTATCCATTCATCTATTGAAGGTCATCTAGGTTACTTCTACAGTTGGTGTTATTATGAATTGTGCTGCTATGAACATTGATGTGGCTGCATCACTGAAGTAAGCTGTTTTTAAGTCCTTTTGGTATAGACCGAGGAGTGGGATAGCTGGGTCAAGTGATGGTTCCATTCCCAGCTTTCCAAGGAATCTTCATACTGCTTTCCAGATTGGTTGCATCAATTTGCAGTCCCTCCAGCAATGTATGAGTGTGCCTTTTTCCCCAGTCCTTGCCAACACTTATTGTTGTTTGTATTCTTTAATAGCTGTTGTTCTGCCTGGAGTGAAATGAAATTTTAGAGAAGTTTTGATTTGCATTTCTTTAATTGTTAGAGACACTGAACATTTTTTCATACATTTGTTGATTGATTGTATATCATCTTCTGAGAAATGTCTGTTCAGTTTGTTAGCCCATTTATCAATTGGGTTATTTATTTTTGGGGTGTTAAGTTTTCTCAGTTCTTTATATATCCTAGAGATTAGTACTATATCTGTGCTTGTGGTAAAAACTTGGTCCCATTCTATAGGCTCTCTCTTCGCCTCACTAATTGTTTCTTTTGCTGAGAAGAAGCTTTTCAGTTTCAATCTATCCCATTTATTGATTCTTCATTTTATTTCTTGCACTATAGGAGTCTTACTAAGGAAGTCGGGGCCTAATCTAACATAAAGAAGATTTGGGATTATTTTTTCCTCCATTAGGCAGGGGGTCAAAATACATTATATCTATATAGTGCTTTTGGTAGTATGGTCATTTTGACAATATTAATTCTGCCTATCCAAGAACAAAGGAGATCTTTCCATCTTCTTTAATTTCTTTCCTTAATGTTCTGTAGTTTTCATTGTAGAGGTCTTTCACCTCTTTCGTTGATTCCCAAGTATTTAATATTTTTTTTTGAGGCTGTTGTAAATGGGGTAGTTTTCCTAGTTTCAGAGGATTTGTCACTGATTTAAAGAAATGCCTTAGATTAATGGGTGTTGATTTTATGTGCAGCTGCTTTGCTAAATTTATTTATTAGTTGTAGACGTTTTCTGTTGGAATTTTTTGGATCCTCTAAGTATAGAATCATGTCTTCTGCAAATAGTGGAAGTTCGAGTTCTTCTTTTCCTATCCATATCCCTTTAGTTTCATTCATCTGTCTAATTACTCTGGCTAGAGTTTCAAGAACTATGTTAAATAGAAATGGTG